TCTGAAACCACCAGTTTTTCTTTTTTGAGTGTTTAAAAATACCAGCGAGCACTTGTTGCACATGTTCATTCCAGTTCGTTTTTCCAATCTGTAAAAAATGAAATAATAATCAAAGAAATACAACTTTTCATTTAATCATTTTTTTGTGATTTTTTTAATGGCATTTACCTGTTTTAAGCAAAGAAGCTGTTGAGTTGTTTCCATAGAGGTGCAGGACTTTATGTTGCACTGAAAACTGAAGCCACAGTGAGGAAAGATGTGACAGGAGCAAAGAAAAACACCAGAGAAGTGTCCAGGAGGAGATGCAACCTAACCAACAACAACTGAAACATTCCTGCAGAAACTGGCCCCAAATTCGTTTTATGTAGTTTAGGTGTCCTTGATATTTTTAAGCATGACTTTATGTTCTGTTTCTGCTCCTGTCAGACTCTCTGCAGTCGTCCTCCTGGATTAAAACCTGCCCTGAACACCAGATCCTGAGCGTCCAGCTGCTCCAGACCAGCAGCACCGATGAGACGGACGCCGGAACCTCGGCTGCTCAGATTAAAACAGAGGACGGCGGTGAGGATTGTGGCGGGACGGAACCACGGAACCACTTTGATCCAGCCGCTGGTCTGGAAGCAGCGAGTGACAGCCGGCTCCTGGCCGACGGATCGGACACTGAGGACAGTGGAGACTACTGGAGGGACGCTGCGGAACTCTGGAAACCAGAGGAGTCGGCAGAAACGGAAAGTTCAGGCAAAGACGTGAAGAGCTGCACTGATCTGCCGCAGCAGCACAAACAGCTTCCCACCGAGTTCAGCTGCAAAGTTTGCAGCGAGTCCTTCCAGAGGATGAGCTACCTGCTCAATCACTCGGCGGCTCATCTGAGGGACTGCGGCGTGTGCGGGAAACATCTGGAGCGCGCCGAGAGTTTGAAGCTTCACCTCAAAGTTCACAGAGAATCGTCGTTCCGTTGCAGCGTCTGCGGGCAGAGCTTCACCCTGCGGGGGAACCTCAGGACGCACATGAGGATCCACTCGGGCGAGCGGCCGTACGCCTGCACCGTCTGCGGCAAGAGCTTCGGCAGGAGGGCGACGCTGGTGCGACACGTCCGCAGCCACACGGGCGAGAAGCCGTTCACCTGCACGTACTGCGGCCACGGCTTCGTGGAGAAGGGAAACCTGACGGTGCACCTGCGGACGCACACCGGCGAGAGGCCGTACTGGTGCTCCGTGTGCGACCGGCGCTTCAGCCAGCTGTCCTGCTTCTACAAACACCCGTGTCAGAGGAGAGGCCTCATCTCTGCCCCCGTCAACCCGAGCTGACCGCTGCAAAACAGGACGAGCGACCTTCAGAGTAAAACCTGCTTCACCAAACAGAGCAACAGTGAAACAGCATCCTCTGTCCAGTGTGACGGGGTTTGGACGCTTCTGGACGATGCAACAATTATTTTATTTATTTCATCTTTGTGTCTGAGAAACCATGTTGTAGCTTTTTTTTGCAGAGGACTCCAAACACTTCACTACCCAGGTGCCTCGGCAGCCGTCGCCATTGACAACAGGCCAATAATTTGCTTTGTGAACAAAACTAATCTTCTTAGCTGCTTTATTATTCCAAAACTGACCCAAACTTTGATGCGATTGTCTAATTTACAGCTCCTGTATTTTCCGGCTCGATTCCTGAAATCTTTCCTCATCATTTCCTAAAAACTCGCTGCTGTTTAGCTGCAAATGACAGGATATTTAGAGGAAGTTCTGCAAACCTTAGTACTATTGTTAATCAAACTATTGATTATTTTCTGAATCTGTTGATTAGTTCGATCTATAAAATGGCGCAAAATGTCAATCAGTGTTTCCTAAAATGGCAAATGTTTTGTCCACAATCCAAAATTATTCAGTTTACTCTCATCGAGGAGGAAAGAAACCAGAAAATATTCACATTCAAGAAACCGGAATCAGAGAATTTAGACTTTTTTTTCCTAAAAAAAAAAAATGACTCAAACCAACTAATCGATTGTAGTTGCTGATCAGTTTAATTGTTGATTTATTGATTAACTGTTTCAGTTCTAAATTTTGAAGCAAATTAAGTTACTTGTTGCAAATATATGAGAATTTTTAATTTTAAAGAAATAGAATTTTATGATTTTGAGAGTTCACAAACTATGTTTTAAAGAAAAGCTGATGGACGCTGACATCACACTGGAATGAATCACTTTATTGATTAACAGAACAGTTTAAAGCCCGAAGAAACTAAAAAAAGAATGAAGTTCAACGAACATGCAGCAGAAACTCCAGTCAGCTTTGAGAGCCAGATGGAGGAGCTTTGTGCCCAAATTCTCCTTTTTCTTGGTTGATTTGCTGTTAAAGTATTTCTCACAGCGAGGTGTAGCACGTATCAAATAAAACTACATGACTTGACCTTTACAAATACATTATTTGCTTTTCTGTGTGACGACATTTTGTTGAAAAAAAGAAGATAAAATTACATCAAATTTACGTGTAGTTACAATCTGTCTTCACTCCCGTTACTGTCATTAAAACTACTCATAATCTGTCATGCATAGACATGTTAGTATGTTAATATGTTGATATCGGTGCAGTCACTGCTCACATCTTCACATATCTATGCAAGTAATATCA